AAAGGAGTTGCCACCGTCCCTGTTACCCAGGGGCGAAGGGGAAAAAAGGGGGGAGAAGGGGGGGGCGGGGGGGGGGGTCGGGGAAAGGGGGGGGGGGGGCTCAAAGGAGCCGGGAAGGAAACCCTGGGGGGAGAGACTGAAGGGCCTCTGCGTGTTTAGCCTTCCTTGCCAGAGAAGACTGAGGAGGCTCCAGAACTCTCCTTGGGCCCGGAAGGGAGGCCTCTTCTCTCCTCCCAGGCCCCCAACCCACTCACCCACCCCCACCTCTCGTGGACGGAGCCAAGTCCGGCAGAAGCCGCAAGGAAGAGCGCCTCCAAGAGGAAGAGCCATGGCAGAACCAGGGGGGTTGCGCTGGATGGCTCGGGGTGCCCCCTACTCAGGGCCCCGCTAGCAGGCAGGCAGGAAGTGACGCCCGCCCACCCGCAGCCCCCGCGGGCTCCTTACCACGGAGTAGCCATAGACGTGGATCTTCTTGGCGCCGCTCTGGTGGGAGATGCGGCCGCCCCCCAGGCACCGGCAGCGGAAGCCCCGCTTCTCCAGCTCCTCGGCCGCTTGATCGAAGATGTCGGCTGCGGGGGAAGAGCAGAGGGAGCGCTGGGCGAGCGGGCGGAGGGAGCCGGCCAGGAGGAGACCCCGAGACCCTCCTCTGTCCGAATGGTGCCCGCGGGCGCCAGGATGGGGAGGTGGCGGGGCAAGGATGGCAGCCGGTTGCTTGGCAACGGAGCCCCGCCCTCCCACAGCCCTCCTCGAGGCCCCTCCCACTCGCGGCCCCGCCCGCCGGGCGCACCTACCGTGGTATTCGGCCCAGGCGTGTCCGCGGATGATGTCCTTGCCGGGCCCGGAGCCCGCGGGCTCCACGCGGATCAAAACGTACTTGAAGACGCCGTCCGAGTCGATGAGCGCGTCAGGGACGCCTCCCAGGTCCCCGTCCGCCATCGCCGCCCCGGCTTGGAAGCTTCTGCGCGCGCATTCGCCGGTGCACCAATCGAGGCGCGGCAGCCGCGACTGTTCACCCAATGAGTCGCCGCGGCGAGCCTGAGGCGGCGACCAATCGAAGTGCCGAAGAAGGGGAAGGGGCGGGAGAAAGCCGAATCTTTCAGCATGCGTACCCCGCTCCTCGCTGGTACCGCCCAAGCCAGTCTGACTGGGGAATTCTGGGAGTTGAAGTCCACAAGTCTTAAAGTTCCCAGATTTAGACACCCGTGATTTAAGGGAAGCGGTTTAGTGAACCACTGTGCCTCTGAGCGTAGGCAGAGTTCTCCGCTGGACGCTGTTGCCGAAGTCGATGGGAATTGTAGTCCCTCTCCCAAGGACGCCCACCCCCAATGAAGGAAACGGTGCACAATTGTGGGTTCAGAAGGGACCTGAAGGTCCTCTAGTCCAACCCCTCACAGAAGTCATTGGAGCCAGCACAGAAAAGCCAGCATTGTGCTTCACAAGCCCCCCACCTCACCCCACCCCCGCGGCTGCTTTGAGACGCTAGCAGAGTCCTAGCAATGGGGGGGGCGGGTTTCCCACCCCCCTTCCAGAAAATGCAAACATAGCACATTCAAGTTATAGTTTATGTTTATTCAAAGGAAATAGTTTGTCTCAGATTCATATATCTCTCTGTATCTATATATTTATATGAGCGAGTCTGGGTGTATATTTATACATTTATTCGTATATTTATTTATTTTATGATCCAAACCGCCATGTGGGAAAACCAGCAGACCTGGAACAAGGGTAATGTCGGAAAATGCCAGGCAAGAGAAAAAGTTTCTAACATTTTGTCCATTACGGCTTTTCCCGGCCTATTTTTCTAGAGAATGTGCTTTCGATTCCCCCACCCGACAAGCAAAATTCAAGCAAAGGGACCAACAAACTCCTCCCTGGGGAAAACGAGGGACGAAGGCGGCTGGACGGAAGAGTCATAAAGCTCACAAGGGAATCCTGGAGAAGGGACTTGCAGGGGGGGGGGAGGAGTGGATGGAAAGGGGGCCTCTGGTCCTCCAGATAGCTTGCCAGAGGGGAAAAGGGGGGGGCTGCCTGCAGACCAAGAGCTCCTTTCCCCCTTGATAGAGGGACTTTTCTTTGGAGGGGGGGGCAGGAACTCCGTAGCTTACCAAAACAGGCCATGCCTTACAGTATAGTGCCACAAATGAATCAGCCACCCCCTGGTCACCATGGGGCAATGCCAGAGCAAAGGGATATTCCAGCTTCCTCCCTCCAGCCATACACATTTGGGGTCCTGAGGATGCTCCCACTGCAATGAAATACACATACACACACACATGCAGCCCTCTTTCCCCCCGCCCCGGTTCCCCACAATATCATCTATACCTGGCCCTGGAATCCCCTCCTCCCCCCCCCCTCTTTCGCTTGCTCACACAGACCTAAGAGATTCAGGAAGATGCAGCTGCCCTTGGCAGGTTCCCCAGCCTTCATCGGGGGCCTGAATAAACATGGGAACGGGGAAACTGGCAGACTGTCCTCTCCAAGGGGGAGAGCGACCTGGCTGGCAGAGCAGGGACTCGTGCAGTGACGCTGGAGGCCGTCTCCTTCCCAAGCCACAACCTGCCTATCATCGCTTTCTTAGGTCCCAAGGCTCGGAATATGGCAGTAGGCTTTGGCGCTTCCCCAAGAGGCAGAGCCCGGGAGCCCTCCCGCCCACTCAAATCGATGTTGCGTTATACATTTTCCTTCCCCAGAGACAAAAAACATCCATACAGCCCTCCCCACCCCCAATTCCCCATGCGTAGCCAACCACCTTGGGACCGAGGCTCTTGTGCGCAGCCCTTCTTCCCTCTGCCAGGCGAAGCTCCTGGCATCCTCCGCTTTCCAGGCGGGAGTGACCCCCTTCCCACCTTCCTGCAAAGGATGGAGCATCACCGTAGCAACCGCTTTTCCTCCCCACAGCTTCTGACCTGGATTTCTCTGCCTGGATTTGGGGGGGGGGAGGCATCACTGGTGGGAAGCGGCTCAGCCTCCCTTGCTCCCTCCACATACAGTGGGCCCAGGCCGAGAGCCCCTTCCCTTGTCCTGGTTTACTACAGGATAGCAGATGGGAGTGGGGAGGGCAATACTGCAGCCGAGCCTCCGCCAAGCCCGGCTGCAAAGATGGCAAGATTAAACTTCCAGGGAGAAGGAACCCCCCACTGAAATGCTAGTGGCAAACTCTCCCCCTACCTCATTTTTATTCTCCAGGATCAATTTTTAAAAATAAAGGAAATCGATCCATGAAGTAAGAACATTCTTGTCTGGAGGAATTCAGAAGAAAAACGGACTGTAAGGCTGAGGATTGTTTTCTTAACGGTTGACCAAGAAAGCCTGGAATTCCTAAAATATCCGCTTTTCTGAAGGTGATCAGATTTGGACCCGTCCTTCAAACGATGAACGTCCAGTAAGAGCAGAGGGCCACCAATGCGGGCCCACTCTCTCCCAGGGGCCCCATCCCTTGCTGGGCCCCACCTTGGCCACTCCTTGCTCAGAAAGAACCGGAAGAGACTAACCATCACCTTAGCACTGACGTAAGAGGAGAAGGGAAGAGGCCACTGCCCTCTGGCCACACCGCTGGGCTCACATGATGTCGTCCAGGAGGTTGGGACTGGCCACCCAGTCGAGGGTGCGCGGCTCGGAAGCGGCCATGATCATGCACATGAACTGCTTGCCGGTCCTCTTATCCATGGGGTAGATGGTGGTGGGCGTGAAGCGCTTGTTGCTTTCCACAAAGGCACACAGCTGCTCGTAAACCTTCGGGAACTCGTGCCGCAGGAAGACGCCGCGAATCCGCAGCTCGCGCTGGATGTTGATGAAGCAGACCTCTCGCGCTTTGCGTCCTTCCTCGCCATCCTTGTCCAGGTCGGCCGTGCCGGGAGGAGGCGTCAGGATCAGCGTCTCCATGTCTCGCTCCTTCTTGAGGATCTTCTTCTCGGGGCTGGAGGACGCCAAGGCCATCTTGGCATACTTGCGGACGGTTGGCACCTGTACCTTGGGGGAGGGCCGCTCGGGCACCTCCTGCCCCACTGCCACGGTCACGTTCAGCAGGAAACATTCCTGGGGGTCGTACTGCTGGCCCGCCTCCTGCAGCTCCTGGGCGTACTCCCCGAGGTTGTCGGAATAGCCCTCCAGCTCCCGCAGTGACAGGTAAGTGGGGGACATCAGCAAGCTCTCCAGGCCGAACTGCAGGAAGTTCTCGGCGGAGCCTGAGCTGGGGAAGCCCAAGAAGAGCACCCCTCGGCCCCGAGACAGGAAGCCCACCTTGGCGATGCGGGAGAAGGCCTTGTGCACCTCACCGTTCTCCCGGCAGAACTGCAGCACGTGGCGGCAGGTGCTGCCGATCCGCCCGTAGATGCAGCTCTCCTTGTGGGTGTCCCAGTCCTCCCGCCGGCAATGGCGAGAACAATAGTAGGTGTAACAGCTGTGGCAGGACTTGAAGTAGAGGCAGGCGTTGAACATGGTCTCCGTGCGGCGGCACTTGGCGTTGGAGCACATCATGAGGTCGTCCTCGTCCGCGCTGGGATCTGGGGAACAGCCCTCCGGGCCTTTCTCCAAGGGCCTGGGAGGGTCCGGGGGCTCAGTGGAGCGGCGGCCCTGGTCCTTCCAAAGGTCGGCATGGAAGGAGCTGCGGCCAGGCTGCTCTTTGGTGGGGTGGGGCTCCGAGGGCCTCCAGGGGTCCGGCTTCTTGGGAGGCAGCCCTAGTCCGTCGCTGATCAACTGCCGCAGCTGATCGGCCAGGTTGCTGACTTCGCTGGGCTGGCAGACGGAAGGGGGCTTGTAGTCGATGACCAGGTCGGTGATGAGCTCGTCCAACTGCTCCAGGCTGCGCTGACGGGCGGAGCTGTCTTTGGCACCGGGGTCCGGGCCGTAGGGCTGGTGGGGAACGTAGGCTCTGTCTCGGGCGTCCCCTGAATCTAGGACATCCCAGCTGGCTGAGCGCCTGTCATGCTTGCCGAGCCCGTGGTTGGCTCGGATGTCGTTGTCCGTGATGGTGATCTCTGGAGTGACGAACCAGCCGTGGCGCCCCCTGTCGGCATGCATCTTCTCCACGAGGGAGTTCTCCGAGAGGGAAAGGGCGGCATAGCGCTTGGGAGAGCTGGACAGGTTCACCACCACTGGTTGGCGCCGGTCATCGGGGGAGAAAGCACGATGTGGGTCCCGAGACAGCAGGTTCTCGTAGCTACGGCCACGCAGCAGCTGGTCTTCCCGGCGCACATGAGGGGTCAAAATATTGTCCCAGGATTTGGAGTAATGCCTGGTGTCCACACCAAGCCGGGGAGGACTAACGCTGTAGCTGGCGTGCCAAGACGACAGCATGGCTTGGGAGGCAGGCTGGTGAGCTGGAAAGCGGGCCATCTGCCAGGCTGGGTAGGGCACCGTCCCCCTTTCAGGGCAGTACCAGTCGTTAAACTGGACGGAGGGAGCCATGTGGGAATGGGGGTAAGTACGAGACAGCGCTTCCCGCTCGTGGTATTTCCCGTAGTCTTCCGTGTAGAAGATGCGTGGGTTGGCCCTCAAGGCGGGGTAAGGCCTGGGGTCTTCTGGGTAAACCGCTTTTGCAGGGAGGGTCCTGGGGGTGTAAAGGCGAGGGTCGTCCCCATAGAAAGTCTGAGCAGGGGCCTCCTGAATGGGAAAAGGGGCCCTGCTTTCCTCCACAAGGAAGCTCCTGGCTGGAAGAGGGTAGAAGGCCCCTGGGGGAGGAGGCTCTTCTGCGTAGAAGGTTTGGGGCGGGAGGACCTGGCCCCCATAAGGGGGAGGGTAGGACTTGTAGCTGGAACTCTTCTGAGGGAAACTGCCTGGTTCCTCTGTGTAGAAGAACCTCGGGGGCACGTAGGGAAGGTAAGGAAGGCAGCCGCTTTCGGCCACAGTGGGACCTCCATCACAAAACTCAGGGGCGTAGGGGGCCAGCCCTCGGTGTTCCCCACTGTAAGTATCGCTGGGCGTGGGAGTCCGAGACATGGGCACTTGCCGGCTGCTGGGCACGGTCAAGCTGTGGGGCGTCCCTGGAGGCCGAGGCCAGGGCAGGAGAGCCTCGCCATGGCCGTGGGACCCCTTGGCACTGCGAGCTGCATGCAGTACAGCAGCCTCGTCCGGCTTGATGTCCACCCGGCGCTTGACATGCACGCTGGGCGGCGGGGGCCTGGCACCCGGGGCGGCCTCTTCGGGGCAGTTGGCTCCTGTGACACAGAGGGGTGAGATGCGGCTGCCGCCAGCCCGCTGAGGCTGCAGCTTGATGGGGTGCACCTCGCTCATCAGGGCTTTCATGGAGGCGTAGCTGCTTTCCCGGCGAGGGGACGCTTCTACCCGCTCAGGCTCTCGGGGCACTCGGTAGACTTCCCGCCCTCTCCTAGTGGGGGCCGGTGGAGAGCCCGAAGCCACAGGAATGACCACAGGGGTGAAGGTGGATTTGGCGCGGGGGGCGCTCTTAGATCGGGCTCGTCTCTTGGGCTCAGCTCGGGAAGCCGCGTCCTTCCCCTGGGAAACATAGTTTTCCTGCACAGCGGCCCGGAGAGACACCCGCTTGCCTCCGGGAGCCGAGGAGGGCTCTGGCGTGGGAGGCCGCCGGGAATGCCGCTCCATGGCGGGAGTGACAGGCACCGGTGGGTCGTCGAGAGACTCCAGGAAGTCGAAGCTGCGACAGTGCCGCTTGTTGAAGTGCTGGGCAGGCGGGTTCTTGAGGGCAGAAGACATGGAGGAGTCACATTGCCTGCTGGGCTGGCAGAAGGCAGAGCGGGTGGAGGCCACCGGGACGTCCTGACACACGGCAGACACCAGGACGTCAGGTGGGTCTGTTCGGGTCATCTTAGAATCCGAGTCCAGCTCGTCTCCAGCCCTCCTCAGATCATCTCAGTGAAGGCAACCAGGCCTGGAAAGAGGGAGCGAGAGGGCGCTAAGCAGTGGGCCCAAGCACAGCACCCACGGGGAGGTGGGGGGGGGGGTGAGAGGCAGGCCAGGGGCCGCTCCCCCCACCAGCTCCCAGGGTAGGAGAATGGGGGCTGGGATGATAGGCAGTGATGGCTGATTGACAAGACAGAGCTCTGGTCAAGGAGCCCCCCCCTTCCTCTCCCCCCCCCCCCATGGCTCAGGTTGCCATCAGCCAAGCGCTTCCTGACCCACTGGCAGCCTCACCCTACAGGCCTGCCCTTCTGATTAGAGGGGAAGCAGGCCGAATGGCTGGCATTTTTGCTAATATTCACGAGGGAGCAGACACAGAAACGCAAGCTGGTCTCACTCCTAGACCGCACGGTTACCATGGTTTCTCCTCCCTCTCTCAATCTCTCTCTCTCACACACACACACACAAACCCCTCTCTCTTTTGGGAAGCAATGCATGCTGGGAAATTCCAATGAAGTCCAGGAGCAGGAGAGATGCTCTGTCCGGTTCAGATACAGACCAAGATCAGGCTCTCTCATCCCTGGGATCAAGCGGGGAGGGCAGGATATAAAAAAAAGGGGGGGGGTCTCATCTGTTTTTAACCCCCCCCCTGCAAAAGCCCCGTGGTCTCTCCCGCCTCATTGCTGAGCTATGAAAAGGGGGCCCTGAATCAGAGAACTCCCCGTTTCCCCATCATCAGCCCTGAATTCCAGGGAAAGGGGGGGAGGGGATGGAGGGGGATCTCTTTCATTCCTGCCACGTGACTCAGAAACCCCCACTGGGGACCCTCCGCCCCCATTAGGGCTTTCATCCCCTGCAGCCTGGCCAAACCACTCCCTTCCTTTCACCCACCCACCCGCTCCCATTTCCCTTCCCAGGGCCTGCATCTTCTGCAAAACCTTTTCCTTGCTTGCAATCTATTTTGGCAAAAGCCACAGCAATGCTCCAAAAAGGCTATTTCAGCCCCCCCATCTTCGAGGAGGGAGGGGGCCCATTTACAAAGCCCCTCCAGGCCAGAAGAACCCTGGGAGCTCCGGAACCGAAGCGTGACACGGGGGCTGCCATCTGCTGGCACTCCAAGCACCGGGGCAGTGCCAGTTACGGTGTTGCCAGGCAACCCCCCCCTCCTTCCGTCCTTGGCCCGGGTGCCTTTCCTGCCATGTCTGGCGTCACAGCGCTCGTCCCCTGGAAGCGGGGCCTCCTGGCACAGGACCCCCGAGGCTGAGACCGCCAGGAGGTCCATCTCCCTCTGCTGACCCTTCCCTCACGGCCGTCCTCTCCCCACAGCAGTGGCAGGAGGCCTCCGCTACCATTCCCCTCTGGGGTGGGGGCTGTTTTGGGAGGATGGAACTGGCCTCAAGGAACTTCCATCCGAGGACAATTTCAGGCCAGACCTCACAGTGGCCGTGGACTTGGCCAGCCCCTATACTCTCCCCTCTTCCTTTTCTAGGGCCCCTGCACCAAACAGAGCGTGTGCAAAGGGCTGGGGGGGAGGGAGGGGGACCAGGTGGGGATCAGCTCACACACCTGGGCTTCCACCCTTCCACCATCCCACCCCCACCCCCACCTTTACATATACTCTGACTCACAGCTTGGGGAGGAAACGCACTCTGCACGCGCCTAGAAGTGTCTCCCTCTATCCCACAGCTCGGCAGGAGCCTCTGCTGGAACACAGCTGCGCTCTGCCTCAGAAGCCTCGGGAAGGAAAAAGATGCGCCAAGCAGCGGAAGGGTTAAGGGTAGGAGCATCAGGCGCCTTCACCGGAGTGCTTCCCCCCGCCCCCGACTGCCTTCCACCGGGATGGCACTGCGGGTGATGGAGAGGCAGCCCAAGGGGCCTGGCCATCGGGAGGGCATCACGCAGGGGACCCCCTCTCCCCCCTCCCCAAAAAAATCTGCCTTCTCCCCCACCAACATTGTCTACCCACCTGAGCGAGGCAGCGGGGGGGG